TCTATTTCTCTCTCTCTCTCTCTCTCTCTCTCTCTCTCTCTCTCTCTCTCTCTCTCTCTCTCTCACCTCGGTCACACCCCTTACCCCCGACCCAGCCCAGGGGAGGGGCAGTCAGGGGAGTCACCAAATAGGGGGCAGCTGATTGACAAGCTCAATTTTCTGCCTGTCAAGATTTACCAACTGCTTGACAGGGCGCGCCCCGTGCATGAGTGACGGCCGTGCTGTGAGAAACAGAGGGTGAGCGCGAGTGTGTGTACTCACCTGTGGTGTGTTGAGAGTGTGTGTTCACTTGTGGTGTGATGAGAGTGTGTGTACTCACTCGTGCTGTGTTTGGCTGTGTGTGTTGCGGCTCAGTCTTGGACTCAGAAATGACAGTAAGTGTGTCTAATAGCCGAGACACACAGCAGAGATTTTGGCCCAATCAATTTATTTTGTCACGTTTTCTAATTTGCTCCCAACTGGGTAGGTTTGACGAAAGTCGCATTCTTGAGGCGGCCACAAGGCTAGGGCGTGTCTCGCTACATCGCAGGGGGGCACAGTTTGTGTGTGTCTGCCGGAGGCAATAGGTACTTGAGGACTTCAGAGTCAGGTGTGGTGAAGCAATGCTAAGGTTTTTTTATACAGTGTGTACTGATCATACACTGTGTGTAACCTTTCCTTTGTAAACTTACACAGTATGTTACCTGTGTAAACCTAAAGTGTATGTTACGTGTAAACTTACACAGCATGTTACCTGTGTAACCTACACATTATGTTACCTGTGTAAACCTACAGATGGATGCAACGAAGAGATTATTTGTTATACCCAACATCTAATACATGTGTGAATGTAGAGAGTCTGTTTTCTGTGTAAACCTACACTGTGTGTTTTCTGTGTGAACCTACACTGTATATTACCTGTGTAAACCTACACTGTATGTTACCTGTGTAAACCTACACTGTGTGTTACCTGTGTAAGCCTACACTGTGTGTTACCTGTGTAAGCCTACACTGTGTGTTACCTGTGTAAACCTACACTGTGTGTTACCTGTGTAAACCTACACTGTGTGTTACCTGTGTAAACCTACACTGGGTGTTACCTGTGTAAACCTGCACCGTATATTACCTGTGTAAACCTACACTGTGTGTTACCTGTGTAAACCTACACTGTGTGTTACCTGTGTAAACCTACACTGTGTGTTACCTGTTTAAACCTACACTGTATATTACCTGTGTAAACCAACAGACGGATGCAACGCAGAAGTTCTTTGTCATATCCTACAGCCAATACATGTTTGTATTTAGAGAGAGAGACAGAAGGAGATATATATGTGTATATATATATATATATATATATATATAGAGAGAGAGAGAGAGAGAGAGAGAGAGAGAGAGAGAGAGAGAGAGAGAGAGAGAGAGAGAGAGAGAGAGAGAGAGTTAGAGAGTATGAAGCGCTGAAAGAGTGAAATGGTTAAAAATGTGGATTTGGGGGGTGGGGGAAGGAAGTTGTTAACATTAAGGGGAAAAAAGATACTTTTTTGTTTTGCTTTGTTTTGTTTTGTTCTGTTTGTTAGTTTTTCCCTTCGCTAATTGCAGAAATTTGCCTCTCGGAAAAAGACAGAGCAATGGCAAGAGGAAAATTCTTCTGAACGACAGCTTGTGCACATCTGGGGCCTCCGAACCTGTCCTTTGTTAATAAATTTCATCTTTCGTTTGTTTGTTTGTTTTCGGTAAAGAGACGCACAACGACACAAGAGCGGTAATTTAGATAGGGAAAAGAGCTGGAGACATACAGACAGAAATAAGAGTGGGAAAGAGCTGGAGACATACAGACAGAAATAAGAGTGGGAAAGAGCTGGAGACATACAGACAGAAATAAAAGTGGGAAAGAGCTGGAGACATACAGACAGAAATAAGAGTGGGAAAGAGCTGGAGACATACAGACAGAAATAAGAGTGGGAAAGATCTGGAGACCTACAGACAGAAATAAGAAGGGGGAGTGTGTGAGAGAGAGAGAGAGAGAGAGAGAGAGAGAGAGAGAGAGCAAGAAGGGGGGGGGGGGGGGAGAGAAGAAGCAGAGCATACGAGTGGCGCCCTCTAACTAACTAAGCATATGAATCTACCCTTAGCAAACGTAGAACACAATAGCCACGCTAGATAGAACCGTAGATAGAACCGGCACATCGATATTTCATTTGTGTGGGCGAGCTCTATACACTTTACATTATCATCATCATTATCCCATGCCAGTTCTGCGACAGACATCGGCGATCATGGTTCTCCATTCATTCCTTTGCTCGGATGCCCTAGGTTCCGTAAGTAGGTTGCTCTGGGTCTACCCTTGCCTCGTTTGCCTTCACTTTTGCCAGTGAGAGTTAGGTGTTCAAGACCTTTATGCCTATTTAGGTGTCCCAAAAACTGGAATTGTTGTTTTCTTATCGTTTTTAATAGTGAGCGTCCCACGTGGGCTTTATCAAGTACTACCTCATTTGATTCCTTAATCTTCCACGATATTCTCAGCAATCTCCTAAGAAACCACATTTCTGTTGCTTCTATTTTATTGTCACAGTCTTTAGTGATTGTTAGCATTCACAATCTATTTTATTTCTTCATCAGAACCTAAAACACTCTGACACATTCACAGTTTTCTGGTAAACAGACAGTGCAAGCAGCAGATTGAGCGCTCAAACACTAACGACCTAACAAGATCTTTCGCAGTCTATATAGCCGAGCACATAGATCTATTTCCACCTGAATGAAGTGGGGAAACGTTGTGTTGATTGCTTTTCCCAAGGACTCAAGGTCGGGCCCCTCTCGGGGTTAGCATCCACCATCTTTCGGTTGCAAGCCCAACACTAGACCCCCCCCCCCCCGACGCCACAAATAAATACGACAGAATCTAGTCATGGACACCTGGTATCTATTAGTTACAGTCACAGCATCGTTTACGCTCAAAAAACCATCCCTGTGACCCGTTGGCTCAAAATGCCGAACATGTCGGCTCTTTTGGGGGGGGAAAAGATGATCGAAAAAAGCTTCCAAAGCATGGAAATTTATCAAATTTCGCCCAACTTAATCAGTGGTGAAGGAAATGACTCAAATCGAGTTTGTTTGTTTTGGTTTTTGTTAGGTTTTACGGCGCTCGCAAATGCATAAAGTCATATGAGCGCAAAGGAGTGGATGTCAACAGAGAAATCTAAACGGGGAGTCAGGCTTACTCTGCTCACCTCTCTAGCCTCAACAGCACAAAATCTGCTTCGACTATCAAGGCACCCTGGAAATAGTAGTTTAAAAGAGAGTGACAAATACACCAAAGAAGTAGAGGAAAATGACGATAGTAAGGATGAGGGAGGGGGGAGGCAGCCGTTCCGCCTATGTTGTTCCGGCACAATATGAGCATGACATTGATAAATCAGCCCACTTACAATTCTACTGTGCATAAGAAAATGTAAATATCCCCCCCCTTGGGAACGCCTAAAGACACTTCAGTCAGTGGCACTGCCTTGGTGGGGGAGGGGGGGGGGTCTGGAAGATGTAACGAGTGGAGACCAAGTACAAGTGAAAGATCAACCCTGACCTTGACCATCAATAATTTATTTAGAGGCACCAGCTGTTCATGTCCAGGTGCTGTTTTAGCCGAAAGATGATCAAAAGGGAGACCAGAAAGAAAGAAGATGTCAAGACGACCTCAGAGAGCGGACAGACACAATCTGAATACAGCAAACAGCTGATGGAACAGAGTGTTTGTTGGAGGGTTTACATTCTGCAGCTGATTGGGGAACTCTGCCCAGACAGAATGGACACAAGAACTGCAAGGCTCTACTCACCCCGAATGAAATCCAAAGCCTGCTCCAAGCCGAAAATGTCCGTATCGCAATCATCCTTCGCCAGGACTCCTATCCGCACGCCGGGTATGAGCATTCGGTCGTACTTCCCGTTGACGTGATCGAGCGTGAACAACATGGCCTCCAGCGCCTGGATGCCTCCCTGGTCCATGACCTTGCCACACATGTACTCCTCGGACCTCTCATGGATCATGTGCAGAGCTCCCAGCACCAGCTGCCCGTCCACCACGCTGGCAGACTCGCGGAGAGGCCAGGAGAAGTTGAAGGCGACTTTGAGCTTGTTGCGCTTGTGCTCCGACTCGTTGAGCCACACGAGTAGCTCGGAGTCCCCGGCAGACTCCTGCTGCTCCGTCAGCTCCTCGTTCGTCACCTGACCGAGCTTGCTGTTCCCGCCCCCGCTGTTCCCGAGGTGAGCCCCGCCCCCGCCCCCGTTCCCGACGTCTGCTATGTTCACTTTGGGCGTTTTCCCTCCCCGGTGGTGTCGGCGACGGCCTGAGAAGGGCGGGTCTCCGGGCTCGTTGTCTGTCAGTGTGTAGTGCTCTAAGTGGTCCTCGCTGTTTGCTGTGGCCAAGGAGGAGGAGAACGGAGAGGGTTTGTACGGTTTCAAACCATTATCATTATTGTTGCTACTGCTGCTGCTGCTGCTACTGCTGTTGCCATCTGCTGTGGCTGTCGTCACGGCTAGATTGGTGGCCAGTGAAGATGTGATCAGGGAGGTGACACCCAGGAGAACCAGGAGAACCCCCAGGATGCACGAGAACATATTGCCCGGTGCACTGGCTACGGACATCACACCCGGTTTGCTGCTGCTGTTGTTGTTGTTGTAGTTGTTGTTGTTGTTGTTGCTGTTGTTACTTCCCACACAAACAAAGAGCCTGTTTCTGATCTTGGTCCTAGGACGGAATTTGTCCACCTCGAGTTGATGCTCCACGTCCTCTGAAAGTTCGTCAAAATTCGTTTGTACCTTTGGTCGACCAGACGCACGTTTTCCTCTCTGTCCACCGAGAGAGATACAGCGCCTAGCGTGCGTCATTACGTGTGGCGGTGTCCGGAGGGGAAAAAAGAACTCTGATCCTGTCTTAATTCTATGGACCGATATCCGTTGAACGTTGTAAGGGCGATGAGGCAATACAGGACCTGTAAACAGGAGAAAAAATCATTAGTCAATCAATACTACAGGCGTCTATTGTATTAAGAGGTGACTACTGTAATGAGATGCTGAATAAGTCCAGACTTTCATCAAACAGATGTATGAGGAGTATCCTAACAATTAAGGGGCAGGATAGAATAAGAAATGAAGAGCTGCGGGAAAGAACAGGACAAAAGGATATATAGAAGAAGTAAAAGGACAAAGAAAATAAGGTTGGATGGGACACGCCGTCAGAAAGCCCATTGGAAACATCAATAACAGTCGCTTCAGTAGAACTCACAGGCAACACGACACAGGGGTAGGCCACGGGAATTATGGAGGAGATGTGTGGAAAGGGACATGGGAGAGATGAAGCTCAGAGATAAATTTAAGGAGCTTGTATATGTGAGCTACGCTGACAAAATGAGTTACTTTTCCGATTTTAGCCTTATGAACTTGATACATCAACTTTATAGGTGAAATTTGTACAATTTGTAAGTATGTAAGAATAAAAGACATTGTAGACTTGAACAAAATGGCATCAATTAGAAATCTATAAATCTGACCACAGCGTCAATTTTCAGCCCATATCTCCATTCTTGGACAGCGAGAAGTAACTCATTTTATCAGCACACCTCACATATGGCCTATACCCTGCAAGGGGTGAAAGGTGTGATGATGACGATGACTTTAATAAGTGTTAGATTCCACAGAGTGTATCAAATGAGGAAGACAGTGGGGGGCAAGGGTAAAACAAAATGAAATGTGAGAAAAGAAGACAGAAAAAAAAAACAAATGGGTCGCCACCACCTCGGAGAACGAGCGACTTCTGTCACCAATTCTTGTTCACGTCCATTGTTTTAAAGACTGGGTAAACAGTGACCGGTCACCTCACTTACGATTTGTGTATGAGTTGTGGGCGGGGCTTATGGGTTATGACGAATCACACGCTTCCCTTTCCAGCAGCTGAAAATTAATTGTTACCGGGTGGTCAACTTGGGTAAACAACAGTGGGTGGGACCGACCCAACATGATCGGACATTGGATTGACCCGTAATAACGAAAGGTGAATGGGAAGAACATCCGAGCCGCACACTTGTTGGCGGTATCGACACAATTAGATTGCCGATTCTATCCTAAAGTTACAGCAAAGATCTTACGTAACAAGATAGTTCACTCAGCCAAAAAAAGTGTTCGCGGAAGTCCGCACACAAGTAGGGTAACTCTGATAGCAAAGTCCGCACTTTTTCGAAGAGGGCGCCTCAGAAATTTTGAGGACACTTTTTTAATTGGCTCAAAGAGAGGGGGGTTTTTCCGCGAGAGTGTCACGACACTTGCAACACAGTTAGGTCACAAAAGAGAGGAGTGAGCTATCTTGTTATGTACGATCTTTAGTAACAGTTCCCTCGACAGAATAACTCCGTACTATTTACAGAAAATTTCTGTTTCACGGAAATTACTTTCCAGTTGAGTCAATTGACAAAGTGGGTGAGGTGTGTTCGTACCATATACAAAAAAAACTGCTTTTCAACTCTGTAACATTTTTACGTCTTTCATGAACATTGTTTTAGGATTTCTTCCTTTCATTGAACCCTAATACGGGGTGCCCACTACGGATGGGATCGGCTGATCGGGCCAATCGCCTGGCTCGGTCGCCTCAGAAAAAAAAACGTGTTTGTTTTCAGTTTCAGACGACCGAGTCGGGCAAAAGGCCCAATCCATCCGTAATGGGCACCCTGTATAAGAGTACTGTGAGTTAGCCACAAATAACCCCATTCTCCAGATGAGTGGTAAGTGAAAACAGACAACAGAAGGAATGTGTATTAGCAGTAGTAGTACCATTGCTCCCTTTATCACGGTGGCTGACACAAGGCTAGAGTGTTTTACTACTCAGATGGGCAGTGGTGGCATTGTAAAAGAAAACTAGAAAACTTCCAATTCAGTGTGGACAGAAGGGCTAGTGGTCACAACTGATTGGCGTTGCTGCGGGAAGTCCTGCAATTCTCAGGTGAAGACGAACGTTGAGAAAAACCACCATTTGTGACAACACATCTGTAACCATGGGCCGATGGCAGACAAAGATGAATTATCTCTACCCGCCTCTCCCCCCACCTCCACCCCCTCAGGGCAGTGCTACTGACTGAAGTTTGCTTAGCCATTCCCAAAAAGGGGGGGCGGGTATGAACTTGTTCTTGTGCACAGTAGAATTGTAAATGGGCTGATTTATCAATGTCATGTTCATACTGTGCCGGAACAACATAGGGGGAACTGCTGCTTTTTATTTCCTCATTCTTATTATCGTCATTTATCCTCTACTTCTTTTGTATGTTTGTCACTCTTTTGTGAACTGCTATTTGCGGGGTGCCTTTGTAAGTCAAAGCAGACTTTGTGCTGTTGAGGCTAGAGACGTGAGCAGAGTAAGCCTGATTCCCAGTTTAGACTTCTCTGTTGACATCCACCCCTTGGCGCTCATAAGACCTTATTAAGCAGTTGTGAGCGCCGTACAACTTTACTAAAACTAAAACATATACTCACTAATTTATGACGTCATGCTCACCAAACTGCTCTTGAAAATGTAAATGAGAGACCATCAAAGATAGTCTATAGAAAGGCAACCAGATAGGAGAGATCCAAGCCTTGTAAAACGCAGAGGGGACATACATTTGTTGAATGGTATTGGTAGACAATAATTTTAGTTCTGAGAAAGGTAAGACAGACACAGAGAGTGATTCTAGTAAAGGAAAAGATAAGACAGACAGACAGATAGACAGTAATTCTAATTCAAGGAAAGGTAAGACAGACAGACAGATAGAGACAGTAATTCTAGTTTCGGAAAAGGTATGACAGACAGACAGAGGCAGTGATTCTAGTTCAGGGAAAGGTAAGACAGACAGACTCAGACAGTAGTTTTAATTCAGGAAAAGGTAAGACAGACAGACTCAGACAGTAATTTTTATCCAGGGAGAGCGAAGAAATGCCCACCAGTGGAGCCATCAAATCACCTGCTCAGTTATGTCCCATGTGTCGGCGGAATCGTCCAGCAATCAATCACACCCAATAGGGAAAACCCTGCGTTCAAAGTTTAAACTGACCTTTGTTTTGTTTTTCTTCATGTTTTTGCCCTGGCGTTTTGTTTTGTTTTTTTCATAAGCAATTCTGTCTGGCATGAGAAGCGGTCTATCTGAGTTTCTGGGGCTGACTGCAGGGCGTGAGCGCTTTTACTTGATGAAGGGAGAAGAGACAGGGAAGGCTTACTACTGTTGGGGAGACAACGGTGAAGAATGCAGGGGGACAAATACAAGGGAAGGGAAGAATGTGTGTGTGTGTGTGTGTGTGTGTGTGTGAGAGAGAGAGAGAGAGAGAGAGAGAGAGAGAGAGAGAGAGAGAGACAGACAGACAGACAGACAGACAGAGACAGAGACAGAGAGAGAGAGAGATGGAGAGAGAAAGAGACGGAGACAGAGCAGAGAGAGAAGAGAGAGAGAAGAGTGGAAAGAACGTGAGAGAAAGAGAGAGAGTGATAAAGAGATAGAGAGATAGAAAAAAGAGAGAGAGGAGGATGGAGAGAGAGGGAGAGAAAATGAGAGAGATAGGGAGAGAGAGACCGAAAAGAGAGAGAGAGAGAGAGAGAGAGAGAGAGAGAGAGAGAGAGAGGGCGAGAGAGAGAGAGAGAGAACGAGAGAGAAGGGGGATGATGAGACAAGACGAGCACAGCTGCAAAGTGTTATTTTAAAAAACGTTATAGGAGTTACTTGGCCAGGGTATGGAGTTAAGATCTACTACCAGCCAAATCAGAATAGATTATTATTTGTGAGCTACGCTGACAAAATGAGTTACTTTTCCGATTTTAGCCTTATGGAACTTGATACATCAACTTTATAGGTGAAATTTGTACAATTTGTAAGTATGTAAGAATAAAAGACATTGTAGACTTGAACAAAATGGCATCAATTAGAAATCTATAAATCTGACCACAGCGTCAATTTTCAGCCCATATCTCCATTCTTGGACAGCGAGAAGTAACTCATTTTGTCAGCACACCTCACATTTATATAGTACAGATTAGATAGATTTGGACAGTCAGTTAATTAATTCTAACCTCAAATCAAGAATTTCATATTATTATGTTATTTCAATATTTGATATGTCTAATAGCATCCATTACTGCAGGGTGGGACAAAGAATATCTGATAAGAAATGAACAATTTGTATCAATTTTCTGGTGAATCGGGTTCTTGTCAAAATAATAAAAGTGAAGAAACTGGCATTTTCCCGCAGGTTTGTGGATTTTTGTAGAATTTTTTTTTTTTTTGGGGGGGGGGGTATTTTTACTCAACACCTTTTACACCCATTTAAGAATACATTTTTGGGTGGATTTTTCTGAGAAGCGGGAGCTCGTTGGGCGATGTTCGATTCCGCCTTTCACTACTGAACTCAAAGGCTCTCAGGCATTTTACCGACATCAATTCCCAAGTAACCCAGAACTTGGTGGAGAGCCATATTAAGTGAGGCAGCGTAATAAAACCAGGCTTTTGTCAAAATAACAAAAGAGAAGAAACATTTTCCCGCAGGTTTGAGGATTCTGGTGATCCCCCAGGCTCTTCGTCATTTCCAAAGAAATCATTCATGACCGCTTTCAGCAGGGCTTGTGCTACTAGAGAACCTTTCCACGGAGCTTTGTTAGTTACCCCCACCCCCCACCCCGCCTAGGGCAGTGCTACTGACTGAAGTGTCTTTAGGCCATTCCTAAAGAGAGGATAATAACATGTTCTTATGTAGAGTAGAATTATAAATGGGCTGATTTATCAATGCTTTCTTCATCCTTACTATCGTCTTTTCTGACTCTACTTCTTTTGTATGTTTGTCATTCTCTTGTGTACTGCTATTTTCAGGGTGCCTTGATAATCGAAGCAGACTTAGTGCTGTTGAGGCTAGAGAGGTGAACAGAGTAAGCCCGATTCCCCGTTTCGGACTTTTCTGTTGACATCCACCCCTAGGCGCTCATATA